CTCTTCTAAACCAAGAGTCATTCACTACCATTACTGCACCTCCACCAGTGGTACCACGATCAAGGGAGACACTTCATCAGCATGCCTGAGTGCAAGACACAACTTCTCTAAGAGACAGACATCCTATGCGCCAGGCACAAGCCCCTTAATAATTTTATCTGGCATCTGTAGCACACATGTAAAAAATCGGTTCTCATAACAGTTTCTATTGCTCAAAATTTCTTTACAAAATTAAGGACTGATAGGCAAGGTTGTGGAAAAAGATCCAGTGCATTTTAAATACAGATCAAAGAATTTGGAGTATGAGTAGGTAGATTTACAGTTTGTTTTTAAATGTAACTATATCTCAAATATATGAGGATTATAATTTACACAAGGATCACACAGTCTAGATTTAAGAAGTGAGCAAAATATCTAATTCTCTTCCAACAATTTTTTGGGGGGGAGGGAAGTAAAATTTATGAATTTTAGAAGAAAATATATTTCAATAAAGCGACATCAGTACATTTTTGCAGGAGCCTCTGGAATTGGACAGCTAAAGTTTCTGTGAAGTGCATTTCTGTAAATACAGTTTCTAGTAGTTATAGAAGAGTGTGCTATTTGTATCGATTTTTGAAATGAGTAAATCTAATTTCTTAGGAAAAAATGTCTTTATTAGCAAAAACAGTAAAGAGTTTCAGAAAATGAACCAATGTCTAGTCAAGGGTTTTAAAATTATTTTTAAGACAAAGTTTTTCTGGTTGTTCGCAATCTTTTTTTCAAACAGTACAGTTCTCACACTCAGCTGACTGCAGCAGTTTTTCATTTTGGGTGCACTGAGTATTTTGGATGTAATATATAGCTGCTAACCATGAAAAGGTATATACTACATGGTCTTGTGCTAGCTATGTTAAACTGCCAGCAACAGGAACTACTCCAAAGATTAAGCCCTTATGGATTATGTTTTGCAGTAACCATTCAAATTTTCCTCCTCACACACTCCAGTACTAAATCTTGTGTAATAAAAACCAAGAATAATCCAATTGCATTTTTGTTCTAATGTCAGCTGAATACTCTGAAGAGCACTGTAGAGTTGGGGAGGGAGGCATGACATGCCAGAAAAGGGGAAACTAAGACCGATTCTCTAAAGACAAGAGGATTTCTTTGAATTACACTGTATAGCTGAAAGGAGCTGGTACAACACACCACACTATTCCACCAACTATAGTTTCCATGGGAGGTTGTAGAGTTGCAGCTAGTCTCGACTTGCATGAGCTTGATGCAATTACCATTCTAAAAGTTCACAGGAATAGCTGGCAAAAGGTCTTACCACACATTTCTACAACCTTGAAATGAACTTAAGAGGGCAGGGCAGTGACTATGGGACTACAGGTATGGGACTACCAGGGCGGGGGGGCGGGGAGAGACAGGAAAATAAAGGCTGAGGGACAGACACAAGGTGCAAAGAAACATTGAAAAACACCAAATTAAGAAAATTACAGACCAAACAACACTGGCTATATCCTACATACCTCCAGCAGCAAACATCAATCCTAGTCAAATCCATGAAATGAAGTCAACCAAAAGGATACCTCTTTTTCCACAAGGGGACTCACATAACCCAATGTGTGGGAACTTTCATTCCTCTTCACACCATTATCAACAAATGGAAGGATGTTTAGATTTTTGCTTTTCATCCAAATAACAGGACACATTTTTGCCATATGTTTTATCTAACAAGCAGATATCCTGTACAACAACCAGGGTTTAGAGGGTAATCTGAAAGCACAAGCCATTACAGAACTGAGCAGTTGTGCATGGATTTCAAGTTGTATTTAAACCATAGCAACACCTTGAACAGCAAGGAGAGGGACACATTTGTCCATACAAGTGACAATAATTTGGCTTTTTCTAGAGATGGCTACTACACTGAAGAAAGTAACTGAAGTATAAGCCTGTATAGAAAATTCCACAGAAGATATAAAACTGTCACGCTTTCAGGTTTCTAATGGGCACTACTAATCACTCATGACAAGGCTTTTTAAAGAAGCACAGAAAAAGATGAGGCCAAAGGGGCTAAAACAGGTCTCCAGTACAGGCAGTTTTGCACTTTGGAAAAAAGATATTCAAAAGCCTCATGTTAGAACTGGAAGTCACTGTTAGGATTAATAGCACTAATCAGGAACTTATTCTTAAGCAAGTATTCACAAACTGGAAAACCCCAAGATGTTTTCGGAGGGAAGGAGAGAGAGGGAAACTGAGCACACAGATTAATGCAAAAATAGGTATATTTCTTAACCCACCTGCTATTAGGTCATCAAGAGTGTCGGTAAGCGTCTGTGCTGGAGTGGCAACCATTAATCCGTCTGGTTCTTGAACTAAGAGCCCCTGCCCAGCAATTTGCTGCTGCTGTCCTACATTCTGCTGATTCCCTAATGCTTTCTGAAGTTCAAGAGACTCTGTCCCATTATAGCCTAAATTACCAGAAAAATTACATTGCGGTGCTGGCAAAGGCTGGATAGGGATAAACTCTATTTGTTAAGCAGGTGGTGGAGACTGTTGTTGCTCATCATCTTTAGACAAAATTGTGTCAACCTGAGGTAACCCTGAAAAGTTATCCTCTGGCAGACCCTTATCAGCTTCTACTTCTGGGAAGACCCCTGTAAGTGGGCACTGCTGCTGCAGGGGAAGTGGTGTGTCTGTCTGACTTTTGGTCTCCAAATATTCTTTGGTAAACTGCTGTTGGGTTTTCATCTGCAACTGCCTTTCCACCTTCTGCAGCTCCTTCAATATTTTCTTCTTCTTCTGTACTTGTTCTTCTCTGTTCTTTTTAAGTTCTTCAATCTTATCTTTATTTAAAGGTTCACCTTGAATTAATTCCAATGATTTAAGTTGTGCTTTTTCAATAGCACTAATTCTCTGTCCAAGTTCATTCAGCTTGCCTTCAGTCTCTTCTACTATGCATTCCAAAGGCTGGTATGGGTGAAAAGGTGGCAGTAGGTCCTTATCTGCTACCTGCAGGGAACTTGACTTCTGCTTGGATGCACCTAAGCACATGAAAAATGTTTGAAAAAATGCCATGCTAAAGATACCCCAAACCTCCCCTCTCACCCACCCAAAAAAAAAAAAAAAAAAAAAAAAAAATCTTAAAAACTAAAACTCAAAATCTGT